CACTTCTAATAAAATTGATTTTACTTCTTGGCAACCTATAGGCCAGTCAATAATAATGTTGTTTAAGAAAGATTGAGTCATGAAGGAGATGAACCTTCCCTTTCATTTATTATGTTTGTATTGTCTATATTTGAAAAGAGTTTTCAATAATAAAACCAAAAAAGAAATTACAAGGGGAAAGCTTTTTTCCTTTGCATACATACTACCTACTCCTATATATATATATTTTCAGTGAAATATATACACAGTTCAAGTCAAGGTTATGGCCTAAGGCTATGATTTGATCTAAGACTCAAAATTAGGGAACTGGCCCAAGAAGAATGCACATATGTTTAATGGAGAGAGAAGTATTTCTTCTGATAAAACAGTAAGGATGCCCAGAAGGCTGTGGTAAATGCTTAGGTCCTTTCTGGTTCTCATGTTCTACTTTTCTAATATTTTGTCTACTTATTTATAAGATGGTGTTACTTGATTCAATTTCTGAGCACCTACTAATGTCAGATATTATGCAAAGCACTGATGATAGAACCAAACCAAACTCTGGTACCTGTATGTGGTGGGCTGAGGATATACATATGTAAGCAGCCAATTATTATACAGGGTGATCGCACTGTGATAACTCTGATGTGCTTAATAACAGGGAGCTATGAAAGTGGGAGCGTTGACATGGTCAGAGTGAAGGAAGGCTTCTAGAGGAAATGGTGTTTAAGCTGAGGCATAGAAGGAAGAATTAGGGAGAGAAAAACAGTATATAAAAACACCAAGAGGTGAACAGCATGTCAAGCTCTTCAGAACCAGCGGACATTAGCATACAGAGACAGGCCATAAGCAAGGAGTGTGCTAAGAATTAAGTGGAGAGGTAAGGAAGGCCCAGTTTATGAAGGGCTTTACAGGGCAAATTATATTTAGATTTTATCTTAGAAAAATAAAGGTACACAGAACATTTGGAAAACAGCATTTTATTCTCTGGATGAGAAGTGGAAAATATACTGAAGGATGTCAAGAGTGGAAGCAGGGATACAGTTCAGAGCAGCTGAAATTAAGAACCTTGAACTAGTGTACTGACAATGTTGAAATAGAAAGCTGGGTAAAATTGAGATATACTTAGGAGGCAGAACCTGTAAGACTTGAATGGGTATGAAAATGAGAGAAGAATCAAGGATGCTCCCGGAAAATTGATTAGATAACGCTGCCAATTACAGTGAGAGGAAGAGGCATTTGTTGAGAGATAGTACGTTCAGTGTTAGACATTGTGAGTTTGAAGCCTCTGAATGATAAAACTTGCCAGTCAAAATTAAAGATGGGTACCATGATTTATGATATTATCAGAGTTGTGTGATTTTTTTTTTCTTAGCCTTGCTCAGAGCCCTAGTATAGATGTGCAGAAGACAGGCAACTGGATTAATCAGAATTAGAATTTTGCCAGATGGCTTTAACAGTTGAAAAACAGTTGAATGGGAATAAGGATGAGGACAATAGCCTGAGAGTGGGTAAAATGAGCTGAAGTGGGAGAAGGTAGATCAGTAAAGTAACTAGGGGTTTCCATAAGGTCAAATAAGAAATTTAGGGTGAAATGAATTGGAAAGTGTGGTTAGAACTGAAAATTTTAGGCTTGATGAAAAGATCTAGGGTGGGCCCATAAGGCCTAGGGTGCTGGAGTGGAGTGGATATATAAGGCAACAACTATTATGTAAAGGAAAAGCATTTTATACTAACATACTAAGTTAAAAAGCAAACTCCTGGAAAAAGACAAGAATGCCCACTTTTACTACTTCTATTCAACATAGTAGTAGGAGGCCTAATCAATGCAATTAGGCAAAAAAAAAAAGAAAGAAATTTGGAAAGAAAGAAGTAAAAGTGTTGTTCATAGACAACATGATCATATATGTAGAAAACCCTGAAGATTCCTTAAAATGTTGTTAGAACTAATAAATTCAGCAAAGTTGCAGGATACAAAAATCAACACCTAAATAAGTCACATTTCTAAACATGAACAATGAACAATCCAAAAAGGAAATTTAGAAAACAAATTTGTTTATAATTTTATCAAAAAAGAATAAAATACTTAGGAATAAACTTAACCAAGGAGGTGAAAGAATTACACACTGGAAATTATAAAATGTTGCTGAAAGAAATTAGAGAGAACAACACATGGAAAGACATTCCATGGATTGGAAGACTTAACATTGCTAATTAAGATGACAATATTCCCCAAAGTGAGCTACATATTCAATGCAATCTCTATCAAAATCCCAGTGACATTTTTTATAGAAATAGAAAAATCCATTCTAAAATTCGTATGGGAACTCAAGGAACCCAGAATAGCTAAAACAATCTTGAAAAAGAAAAACAAAGTTGGAGGTCTCATACTTTCTGATTTCAAAATTCACTATAAAACTACAGAAATCAAACCAGTGTGGTACTGGCATAAAGACATATAGACCGGTGGAATAGAAGAGAGAGCCCAAACCTTTGTATATATGGTCAAATGATTTCTGACAAGGGTAACAAGACCATTCAATGGGGGAAGGATAGTCTTTTCCTTGGGAAAACTAAATATCCACATGCAAAAAAACCAGGAAGTTGGACCCTTACCTTATGCCACATACAAGAAATAACTAAAAATGGGTCAAAACCCTAAACATAAGAATGAAGACTAAAAATTCTTAAAGAAAATATGGGAGAAAAAGCTTCATAACATTGAATTTAGTGATGATTTCTTGGATATGACACTACAAGCACAGGTAAGAAAAGAAAAAATAAGTAAGCTGGGATTCATCAAAATTTAAAACTCTTGTGCATTAAAGGACACTATCAACTGAGTGAAAGACTGCATAGAATGGGAGAAAATATCTGCAAATCATGAATCTAATAAGGGATTGATATTCAGAATTCCTACAACTTAACAACAAAAAAAACAGACAACTAAATTTAAAAACGGGCAAAGGACATGAATAGACATTTCTCCAAAGAAGATATACAAATGGTCAATAATCACACAGAAAGATGTTCAACATCCCTAATTATTTGGGAAATGCAAATCAAAATCACATTGAGATACCACTTCACACCTATTAGGATAGCCATTATCAGAAACACAGAAAATGACAAGTGTTGATAAGGATGTGAAGAAATTTGAATGCTTGTGCATTACTGATGGGAATTTAAAATTCTGAGCCACTATGAAAAATGGTACAGTGATTCCTCAAAACATTAAATAAATAATTACCATATGATCTAGCAATTCCAACTCTGGGTGTATATTCAAAAGAAGTGAAAGCAAGGAGTCACATAAACATTTGCTACTCAGGTTCACAGCAGTATTAATCACAATAGCCAAAAGATAAAAGCATTCCATGTGTCCACAGGTGGATATTTGGATAAACAAAATGTGGTGTATGTGTGTATATATATACACACACACACACACACACATATACACAATGAAGTAATATTAGTTCTAAAAAGGAAAGAAATGCCAACATATGCTACAACATGGAAGACCCCTGAAGATATTACGGTAATATCTTTAAAAGAGAAAAAAATCCAGCCACAAAAGGACAAATATTACATGATTCCCTTATATAAGACACCTAGAGTAATCAAATTTATGAAGGTAAAAAGCAGAGCAGTGGCTGCGAGGGGCTGGGGTAATGAGGGAATGGGGAGTTAGTTATGAGTACAGGGTTTCATTTGGGGAAGATGAGTAAGCTCTGGAGATAAATGGTGGTGATGGTTGAACCATGTGAATGTACTTAATGCCACAGAACTGTATGCTTAAAAATGATTAAAATGGTAAATTTTATATTATGTATATTTTAAAACAATAAAAAGAAAGAAAGAAAACATCAGGTAGATCTTAATGAACTTTGATTTGGCAATAGTTTCTTAGGTAAGTAAGACACCAAAAGCACAAACAAGAGAAGAAAAAAATTTATAAATTGAACTTCATCAAAATTAAAAGCTTTTAAATACAAACTTTTGTGAACCAATAGACAATATCAGGAAAGTGAAAAGATAACCCACAGAAAGGGAGAAGATATTTGCAAGTCATATATCTGACAATGATCGTAATACATCCAGAGTATATTAAGAACTCTTACATCAACAATAAAAGGATGAACAACTCAACTTAAAAAGGGACAAAAGACTTGAATAGATATTTCTCCAAGGAGATACACACATTGTCAACAAAGTACATGAAAAGTTATCAACATCATTAGTCTATAGTGAAATGCAAATCAAGATCATACCATGATGAGACACTGCTTCACACCCAGTACAATGGCTATTAAAAGGGAAAATAACAAGTATTTTGGCAATGCAGTGGAGAAACAACACTCATGCATTACTAGTAGGAATGTAAAATGGTGTACCTCCTGTGGAAAACAATTTGGAGGTTCCTCAAAAAGTTAAACAACAAATTATCATATAGTTCAAAAATTTTACTCCTATGTACAAAATCCAAAGGACTGAACAAATATTCAAACAAAACCATGTACACAAATAGTTATAGTAATTACTCACAATTGCCAAAAGATGGAAACAACCTAACTGCCCATCAACTGATAAACAAAATGTGGCATATCCACACAATGGAATATTATATAGCCATAAAATGGAAATACTATTACACACTGTAACATGGATAAACCCTGAAAACATGACATTAAGGGAAAGAAGCCAGACATAAAGGCCACATATTTTATTATTCCATTTATATGAAATATCCAGAGAAGATGAATCCACTGAAACACAACACAGATTAGTTGTTGCCAAGGCATTAGTTAGTCTGGCATTGCGAGGGAAATAGGGAGTGACTGCTTAACAGGTACAAAGTTTCCTTCTGAGGTGATAAAATATTGTGAAATAATATAGTAGTAATGGTTAAATGTATGAATGCCACTGAATTGTAACTGCAAAATGGTTAATATGGTGAATTTTATGTTACGTGGATTTTACCTTAATTTTTTTTAAAGTTCCCTTTTTAGCACTCTTACCTGACAGTTAATATCAGCTCTATATTGTAGCAAGACTGTGACTAGTTCCTTATGTCCTCGGTCACATGCCCAATGGAGTAGAGCTCTGCCCTAAAAACACAGAGAAAGATAAATGAATGTGTTAATCCAATTGTGGGGCCACATAAAGGACAGTGTTTTAAGAAGGACAAAGTAATATGAAAACTGTAGGTTAATTATTCTAAGAATGATTGACATAAAAATGCTCTATGGGAAAAGCAGTAGACTTTTCTAAATCAATTGGCATCTTGAGTTCTACTTTTGGAATCCATTATATACTAGTCCAATGACTTTTTTCAGCCTGATTAGTTTCCTAACCTATAGAGTGGACACAGGGATAAGTAACAACAGAAATACCAATAATAGTTGCTGAAGGAATGAGCTACAAGATAATGCTTTGTAAATTTTAAAGTACTTATAAATGTAAAAGATGGTTTTCTTAAATTACTATGTTCACTTCTTCTAGTGAAAGAAATCTTATGGATAAAAAAATGAGTACTTATGATTCTGAAGCACTTAAAACTATGGAGATAGTAAAAGGATCAGTGTTTGCCAGGGGTTGGGGGAGGGAAAGATGAATAGATCAGAGAAGATTTTTAGGCAGTCAAAGTACTCTGTATGATACTATAATAGTGGATACATGTCATTATACATTTGTCAAAATCATGGAATGCATAACACTAAGAGTGAACCCAATGTAAACTACAGACCCTGAGTGATGATGATGTATCAATGGAGATTGATCAATTGTAGCAAGCATACAACTACTGGGGAGGATTCTGATATTGAGGGAAGCTGTGCATATACAGGGGCAGCGGATATATGGGCAATCTCTGCACTTTCTGCTCAATTTTGCTGTGAATCTAAAATCTACTTAAACAACAACAAAAAGCCCATGAAATTTAGGATACAATAACCTCCTCTTAATTCAGGAGACAATTTATCCCTTAAAAAAATAAAGTTCCACTGGATGTGGTTGGGTGTGTAAGAGAAAAAAATGAGTACTTAAACCTAAGTAGAAATCATAATCTACATGTAGTATATCTAAATTTACTTGTTTATTCATTAAAATGTAAGAAAATTTAATGAGTTGGACATGAAGCATTTCCTCTTAATATCCCAAATTTACACCCTGGAATATCCCCAAAATACTAATACAGTCTACTAGTGTCTATCTTCAAACACTGATTGTAAAAGCCACTTGTAAAAATGTTAGGAGACAAGTACTAGATATGAAACTTCAATTTTAACCAGTAGCCACTGAAGACTCAGCTACTATCAATGTGTTAATTCTATTCTCCACTAACAGAAAAACTTTAGTTAGTGGAAGAAGACTATTTGGTCCAAAGAATAAACAAAGCCCCCAAAGCTGAGGGCTTTTCTGAAGAAATGAGTGACGTATGGCTAAACACTACTTTTTGAGGGTGGTAGTAATGTTTTCATTTTTAAAGAATGGAATGTTTTTCCACATTAAGTTGAAATCCCTGCTTTGTCATTTCAGAAAAAGACTTAAGAAGATATAAGCTGGGACAAAGATAACTTTAAAGTAAAAAGCACCATTCAAAACAGCTTTTCTCAACCCATGTATACACTACCCTTCAGACTCTCTTCACATACCTATTAATTCAGCTAATTAAACCAGGATCCATTCTTGAAACAAGAGGCAAACAAAAACACTAAAGACAACTTTTCTCTACAAATTTTTCTTTTCCTTTTCAGTCATTTTCAGCTCTTTTTTAAAAAAAACTTAACTGTTTTCCGATAGGTTTACACAAATCCAAAAAAAAGGGAAGCTGAAAATTTAAAAATGAGGTCAAATCATTCAGAATTTGTTGTAGTAGCAAAACTATTTTGTTCAGAGCCCAAATGGAGACAATTCTAAAAGTCAAGTAAAAAAATGTATTGTTGTGTAGAGTTTCCTATGGTAAAACTTCGGTAGCTCTGCTGTGTACTGACCTGCTGTTACTAGAGCACTAATTCCAAAACCCTCCTTACGGATAATTAGATATTCTCATAAGACTTGCAGAACAAATGCCAATATATAAAAAATTCTATAGTTCAATGTAACTATTTCACATCTTTTACATTAAAAGAAGCAGAATTTCAAAGTATTGTGGTTAGTTCTAATTTTAAGTGTACATTTTATGGCTAATTTAACTATTACCAAGAATTACCGCAGTTAGATCGATGCATAATATACTTACATAGGGCACCTACCAGAACCACATAATAGTTTAGAAAACATAATATTAATATGTCTAGTACTTCTACCACAGGACGTACTGAGCGTTTCTACTTCTCAACCAGGTTCTTGATTTCTCCTTAGGTTTAACCCAATAGGGTTACATCAGCTAATGCTAAAACATAAATCCTTAGCTGTTTCAATAGGAAAGGAGAGAAGCAACCCATTTTACTGTTAATGGGAGTCATATTTTAAATTTCCCACATGTGGTGCCAAAAATTTACTTTAGGGGAAACACCTATGACTGGACCTCAGCGGCGATCTTCACTTTGGATATATCTTCCAGAAGAGCAGCTCTCACACAGAGGCGCTCGAAGGAGGGTGGCCTGCGCGCTCTCAGACACTTACACTGAGCTTTTGAACACGTTTTCTGACCTGCGATGTAATTAATTTTTGTAATACATTATTTTAATGGTACACTAATTAACCTTGAATTAGAATGAATTCTCTGACAATGACTTTCTACAGAAGTACTGAAGGTATCTACATTAAGACCCCTTAATGATTAATATTTTGATGTGGTATTAAGCAGCTCAAAAACAAGAGCAGAATTAAACACACTTACTTGTAAATAAGCACAGATAAAATAAATCAGGCTTTGGAATTTTTGCTCTCAAAATATTCTATATTTAAATAAACAGAGACCAGCACAATGAGGTATCTGAGTGTGATGGCTCCTTACTTCTTCAAATTATAAAGTCCCCATAAACATGATCTAATTCAATATTATTAGTTGAAGTCATAACATAACCAGTAATTTGCAGAGATGTTATTCTCATAACCATTTATGACAAAATTAGGAATAAATCCATGTGGTTTCTTTCCTTTCTCTTTGTTAATCATAAACATCTGGACTACTACAATGCAATCATTCAATTATTTCAGATAGTGGATTCTGTAATCTCTCCTCTAGAAGGAAAATCATGAATTGGGTGTACATTAAAGCTATATTTGCTTAAAAACTTTATCCAAATTTATGAGGTGTTTCACCTAATTTATATATGTTTTATATTCTATGAATGATATAATTTCTTACAAATTTTCAAGTTCAATTTATTTTTACTGTTACCACAAAAGCTGATAATCCTTTGCTTGTTTGTTTCTAGTTTTAACAGCTCTTCTGAAAAAATATCCCAGAAGTATTTAGGAGATAAGGGGGAAAGCCACTATTAAATGGAATCTTTGTTAGGCCACCAGAAGACCACATTCACTATTTGGAGAGCTCTGGTTAAATTCTGGAATTCAAATACAGTAAAACACAAGAGGGAAAAAAAGTTCTCATCTATTAACCAAGGGCGCTACTACTGTCCTACCCCAGACAGATGAATGACTGCAAAGTGCTTTGAAAGTGCAAGGGTGGCAGCTAACCTATTAAGTGGTATTACTTTCATATCTTCTGGAAAATACAGAGTGTCTCTTAATATTCTAATGTGTCTTTGATATCTTCAGTTTCTTGTCTTTAAACCATGAAGAATTTTTTAAAATAGGTTTTGTCCTGAATGTCATGAATTAAAAGAGACCATATCTTGGTGTTCCTGTGATATTTTGAGAACAAAGTACATACAGTAGACAAAAACATAACAAAGTTGGTATATTTAAATTTGTTAAGAGTGGTCACCTTGCCATTCTATAAAATGAAATACTGCAAACAGGTTGACTTGAATTTGTCTTTGCAAAAAAACTGAGTTTCAACTTACTATTGTAGTAGAGATTGACTTTAGCTACCCGTAATTTTTCTACCTCCTCTGAACTACCCTGTCTTTTACCCTTTCCTGTGGCTGCTATAGCAGCTGGCTGCAGTGAGAAGTCCCCCACCTGAAATGTCCAGAACTTAACACAATGCCCCTACACCCAACGCCCTCTCAGTAGTGAACCAACAATGTTGTCTTAAAAACTTACAGACAGGAGTGGGACTGGGAGGCAGTTTAAGAATTCAGGCTGTCCCTAGCATGGAAGATACTGGCTCCCTGTGGGATAATTTATTTACCAGAATTAAAAAGAAACCCACATACCAAAATGTGTGATACACATTTAAAATCAGCAACCACGTGATGTCTTTCACTGGTTTAGATATAAGGTAGAGAGAAATGGTGTTGCTGAGTTATTAGGAAGTTGAGAAGGATTTTAAATACATTACTTAAAAATCCCTTCACAAGCATTTACTAAGCCATAATGTTAGTGACTTAATGGTGAAGGAATAAGCAAGGGAGATATTATTTCATCCTGCATAAAATAAGTAATAACAGCAATAATAAGTGTCCATGAAAACAATTTGGGTATCCATCGTAAGACAATGGATAAATTACGACATAGTCATATGATGGAATATTACTTAGCAATATAAAGGAGGAAAGCACTGATTTATATACTGGATGAATCTCAAAAACATTATGCTAAATGGAAAAATCTCACATGAAAAAGTACCTATTATGATCCCACTTACATAAAGTTCAAGAAGAGGCAAAAACAATCTCTGGTAGAAGAATTATGAGGACAGTGGTTACTAACCTTTGTGGAATTAGGAGAAAGATCCTGCTAGGAAGGGGCATTAGAGGACCTTCTGGGTGATACTAATGGTTTGTGTCCTGTTAGGACTTTTGGTTACACAGGTATATGCATTTGTCAAAATTAATCAAATGTGAACTTAAGGTTTGTGCATTTCATTGCATATAAATGTTATCTTAAAAGAGCAACCAAAGCAATACCAAATTCTAGTGTTATGCCTGCTGAAGCATGTAGAAGGAAGTGTATTGTTTAGAAAATACTGGGAAATGCATTAAAAAATAAGACTGGTGGATGGATAGATATTGATAAAGCAAGTATAGTAAAA